AAAAAAAAAAAAAGAGAAATAGAAGGAAAAAAAAAAATAAAAAAGCCCAGCCAGCAGTGCCAATTTGAAGACTTTGAGTTTAAAATCAGGGCTTAACAGCCTGCCAGTTCACCTGGCAGAGACTTTTTCAAGCTAGGATCAGCTGGATCTGGATCTGAATGTAAGAAAGCAGCTGTGCCAGAGCAGCTGTCTAAGGAAGTAGGGTGAAGGTATGCTGGAAATCAGCTGGTGTGGGGGGAACCACTGCTTATCCATGCTGCCTGATGTGTGAGTGCTGTGGGAACTCAATAAAAAGGAGAAGAGTTGAGGCTTTCTCTCCTAGTGCTGCTCTTGGAGCAGGACATACTTGTGCTATGCACCCCCTGGTGATGACCACCAAGGGCCCTAGAAACCAGGAGGTTCTTAGGCTGTAATGATGGCTGGGAAAACTTTTTTTAGTCCTGCCTAGGAAAATGATAGGGTTTTGATCTTCTGAAGAGCCAGACTAATGGGGTTGGGAGAGAATGAGAAATGGGTGAGGGTTGGGTTACCCTCTGGGGAGGATAACCCAGGGGTCAGACATACAGTGCTCTGGCACACATATAAAGTAGAGAAGAGTTTGGAGTAGAAACAGGTGCCTCAAAAGAGACTCGAAAATCATGTTCACATGAGAAGAATTATAGGGCAGTAATTTCTATGCTGGAGGCCGAAAACTTAGAAACACCATGTCCACAACAGTCATACAGCTGGGTCAAATTCAGTAGATGCTTTACCTAAAAAGGAAAATCAAGTGTTGTTTTCACAAATTAGATTATTTTCTTGGAAATAGAGGTATTCTCCAGGCTACATTCAGTAACAAATCTAGGTGCTATGGGAGTATCTTTTTCTGCAGTTTGTTAAGAGGTATTTGCTTGATACAGAGACCTTATGGGAATGCCTCTCAATTCTCAAGACCCTCTGCTATTGAGCTGCAGGGTGTGTGGAAGGGGATATCTCTAGTCCTCTAACTGGACTTCAGCTTTTTAGAAGTACATCCTAAGTTCAGAAGCATCTGGAAACCTGACTGCTGCTGTTCCCTTGGGCAAGCATCCTCACATATTCCCTGCATCCTTTCTCTTTTGGTCTCTACTTCTTGGTGAGTGTTCAGACAGGAGCTGAAGAGCTCCTTTTAGGGGGCCTAAGATTCATTCCTTCATCATGACTTGTGAGAACTTTAGACAGAAGCAGAGAAGCCCCAGAGAACTACAAATATTGAAATTAGGTGTTTAGATATACCTGAAACAAAACTTGTTTTCAGTGTGTTTTGCTGCTATAGTAGCAAAAAAAAAAACCAGCAGTGCAGTGCCCTATGAAAATAAACAGGATATTTGCAGCATGCTGGGTTCCTGGCTCTGCTTCTTCAGTGGAGAACTCTGTGCCCATGTGTGGACAGGAGCTATTGCCTTTCCATCATTCTCACAGCTGGGGTGCAAGGTAGCAGCCATCCCCATTTCTAGGGCTTTGATTTTGTAAGGTGTTTTATAAACAGCTGTTTTAAAACAATGTTTCTTTGCTGCAGCATGTTGCAAGGGAAGCTTGGGCGCATGAGGGAAGTGAACAACGTTTTGCTTCTTTGGCTGATCTGGATCTGTTTGAGAAATGCAGCTTAAATCTCACCAGTGACTGACCAGTAATTAAAAGCAGGCCAGAACAAGGTAGTATTTCTGTGCTGAAATGACACTGATAGGTGTTCAGACTTGTCCTTTTTTGAAACATCCCATGGAAATAGCAATTCCTGCTTAACTTACTGATGAAACTTCTGCTTTACAAATCTGCTTCATTAAAATAAATTCAGTTTCATCTGTACTGCATAGTGGAAAAAAAACCAAGACTGAGAGCAAAGATAAAAAAATAATTCACTTGGGACAAAATTGTGTTTTGAATGTGATTTTGGTGGAAACCAGCTTCTCTCTCTCTGATTTCCATGGAAACTAATACAGCTTACCATTGCCTGCAGCAGAGCTCAGCTTGGCAGTAACAACAGCAGTGTGCTGGGTGATGAGCTGGCCAGTGCCTGGAGGAGGCATAAATTCATGAGCATGAAGTGAACAAAATGGGTTCGCTGACCCAAAAGGCCATCCATGAATCCCTCTGCACTTCCAGGTCTGTCTACTTTCTTTTCCCAATGGCTCTTCTCCTTGAATTTTTTGTTCAAAAGCACAGGGCTGCTTTGCCTTTCCCCGTCCCAGTCTCAACTGACGGGTGAATTTCTGTGTGCCCTTCTCAAGCA